ATTATCTGATTGCGCCAACTAAATTAAGTGAAGCAAGAATCAAACCACTAAGTAGAAATTTGTAAATTCATATTTAAAAAATTAATGAAATTATAAATGCAAAATTCACTGATCGTCTTGATAGATTAATAATATGATAAAATTTCTAGTTACATATAATCTTTTCTGTAATACAACTGAATTTAAAAATGACATTGATAAGATTGAATATTATTATAATTTAAATAATATTATTTGACTTGTGTAAACAAACAGTTTTGTTTAAGTGTACTACACAACTATATATGTATCACATTTGAAACCATGAATTGATCAATGTTAGACCACCATTAGAAACTTGGAAGCACTGAACGGCCGTTTCGTCCTGGTATGAGACTCATCATCAGTGAGTATCCACGACTCCTGCTACTTGCGGAATTCGAACCCAGGACGTTTGCTCTCATGCACGAACGCCCAGCCTCTGAACGATTGAGCCGGTACTCAGCGGTGTTAATGTCTGTCGGTGATAAGATGATTTCAATTCAAACGTACAGTGTACTTATTGAAGCTTAAAATATAATTTCATGGACTCTCCATTGAAGTTTATTTTAAAAACAATTTTGAAATAATACATTTATTGCCTACAAATATTAATATTTGACAGATTATTATTATTATTATAAGGTTACAAATATTTATGTGTGTGGAATTATTTTAGATAAGGACAACATCTGTCGATTCATGTACACAAAAATGTATCACGAACTCATCAAGCCACATAGTAAGGGTTTCAGTTCAAGATACAAAATCGGTATAGGTACTCTAGGAGTAGAGACAAACAAACAGAGAGCGATATTTTGTATTTCCGAGTAAAATCAACCCTGTTAATACAAGGATGTAAGTTACTCAATTCACCAGTCATATCTCAAAAGAACACTGAAACGCAGTGAAGTCGACTATGCCACGGTACCAAGTTAAGATATTAGTATAAACAAATGAAAAATGTTACTACAATATTTGATGTTAAGTCTATGCAGATATTTAAGTTGCCCTACGATAAGAATTATATATGGAATCTAAGTTATAGTCAGATAAATCATATTTTTTACCAACATGTGTTCAATGTTTTATGATAATTACTTTCAAAGACCATAATATGATATCTGTAATTGCATTTTAGAAATTTTAGTCATTCGAATGACAAACACAAATTAGTTCTTATTTCTAAAATAAAATATTTTATTCACTATTGATGTTCGAATCATATTTTCCATTTTGTTGCTTTCATTGATCAGTAGATTGACTTACTTCTCCATGAAATTGATGATCTAAGAATTAAGTTACAGATTTCATAGTTAGACTGTTTTTTTTACGGTACATAAAGTTAAGAAACATAAACTATATCTTTCATGGGGGGAAAAATAAAAATTCTAGTGAATTGCATAACGTTTTTACAGTAGCTAAATCTTCACAAATAACTATTTTATAGGAAACTTATACAGTGGTAGTGATGGTTTATGAACCTCAGATTGTTCATTGTTTGTCCTTTTTCAAGTTATGAGGCAATTCAACGCGGTATTTATATACTACCTATTAAGTTATAAAACATTTTATCTAGACAGTGTCAGTACGTATGTAGATCAGTTCAAGTTACTTTATCATATTAGCACAGAAAGTCAGAATTGTCATAGTGGTAGAGGTAGTAGCAGTGTTAGCAGTAATCAAAAAGATTAGGATTCGAAGATATAATTCGAGAAGTACGATCCAGTTAGATAAATTCAAAAAGACAAAAAACAACCACGACGAATTCAGAAAATAAAAATTTGAGAGACCAGAAAGAATTCATGAACCTGCGCAATTGTAAACGATTTTGAACCATGTCATTCTAAGTATCTAACCACCGGTTACGATTATCTCGAGGACCCCAACCAAGTAGCCTACACCTATCAACATGGCTCAGTCCAGTTGTCATAAATTTGTGCCATGTTTTTGTTTGGCCACCCCTAACTTTCTTGCAGGCTACATCTACATAACAAAACATCGCCCGTCAAGGTAGTCGGTGTTTGGGCATACGTAACATATGTCCAAACCACCTAAATTGGTGAAAATTCATTGCTTCAATAATCGATCTGCAATTCTTACCTAGTACTCGTTTCCGATCCTTAGTTGCCACGTATCACACCCGTAAAGTAGGACGAAGCGAACTGCTGCTCAGTAGGCTCGTCTTTTGGTTAGCAGACGGACACTCTGTCTACGCTATAAATGATGTGAGTTGGAAAATGGTAGTTGGACCGTCTGCATTTGTGTCGAGATTTTGTAAGCCATCAGAACTGATGAGAATCCAAGGATAAGTAAAACAGTGAACACGCTCAACTAATTAACTCTCTATTACTGGTTCAGGTACCAACGTAAGCCACACTTTTTGCATTTGGAGGAGAGAATCGCATCCCGAGTATGCTTGCATTGTTGTTTAAGGTGTTCAGAAGACTCTACATTTTGTCATTGTTTTCACCAAATAGAACTTTGTCATCGGCATATTCTTAGTCAATAAGTAAATCTCCTGGTAGAAGGTCAACTCCCGAAAAGTCAGACGATGGTAATATCGTCTCTAAAAGCATACCAATGGTAAAGTTGGATAAGAATGCAGAAAGTGGACAAGTCTGAAGAACACCACTAGAAGTAATCAGTTTCGATGATAGTTCGCCATAAGCTCTGACTCGATCAGTAGTGTCCGAGAAGAGGTTCTGAATGAGGTTATTGTACGTCTTCAGCAGACCTTTCGACGAAAGACTACCACAGAACCTTTCGAGCAACAGAGTCAAATGAAGCCTTAAGGTCAAAGAGAACAACAATTGCCGGACGTTAAAATGTGTCTTCACTCGAAGTGTAAGTATCCGGTCTATATATCTATGTCCAGATCTGAAACCAGTCAAGTTTTCTCGAGTCTGCTCTTAACGAGCTCTAGTTAGGCGCCCGAGGCCAATATTTTATATATTATATTAGTTAAACTGATTCCCCTGAGAGTGTCATAAGAGAACTTTTGTCCTTCCTTAGAGACTGGAGCAATCAGCACTTGAGACCTGTCAGATGGAATTACGCCCAGTACCCTGATTCCAACTAAGATCTCAGTCAATCTAACAGCCAAAACTGGACCACGATCCTTGAAAATCTTAGTATGCACTTAGGCTGACTTCGCTGCTCATCAACTTCATATCCTAACCGGACAAGTTTCCGAGCATCTATCATTTCAGTAGATGCCACGGAAATTCCCTAACCTTATGGTTTAACTCACTGGCATATATCAGTGATGTTCCTACAGATTTTCGGATATCATTCGGGGTGGACATTACATGACTGTCCAACTGTTTTTCTATTTGCTGTCGAAATATACACTTGGCTTCTTTATCGTTCAGTAGAACTCTAGGGGTTTTCCTTGCTCTTTCCTACATCCAGTAAGCCGCAGAGAAATACGAGCTCGTACTAGATCTGAATCTAAACACGTGCTTCAGAATGAGCGGCAGTCTCCCGTCGAACCTCTTCATCGGCGACTGATGGCGATGTGATCTAGGCGGGTCCAGCATTGAATCGATTTTGGTGGTCGCCATGTCAAAAGATGTCTTACTTTATCTTTACAGTTGGTTTTTTCCAGAAATAAGTGGCCATTTGAGTATAGCTGCAGCATATGGCCGCCATTATCTGTTCCTTACGCCGCGACACAATAGTATTCACTCAGGTATCTTTCAGTTTCATTTAATCAACGTACTTAGTATTAAAGTCACTAGCCACTATTATCATATCAGAGTGATAAGGTTTTTTGAAGGTTGGAAAGCTTTCCGTAAAATCCATCTCTTACCTCGTCAGAGCTACAATCAGTCGGAGCGTTGGCAGGCACAACGAAGAAGCAATGGTGAGCGTCCATCTTTCTGAGTTCTCACTGTCCCGTTTAGTCGGACAGCGCACAAGCGACTATATGCTGTAACCCAGTCTAAAAAAGCTATTTCTGCTTTAGAACTCAATGCTGAACCTACACCGGCGAGACCACAGGAAGCAGTAGTGGGGCTTCCAGATACACGAAGCGTAAGTCGAGACGGTTCTTTATCTTCACAAAGTGAGGTCAAATGAATGACTCTAGTCGGACCCAGTATGCGCGTTTTGGAGACACAGCATTCGTCGATGGCATAAGTTTCTAGAGTTTTCGCTAAGAAAGCCTGTTGTCTTATTTGACACAAGGTCAGAACATTGAAAAGCTCCAACATGTTGTTTAGAGCGTCGTACCGGGAGTAACATTTCGTGTACTTGAATCGTTAGCATTAGCGGCGCGAGATGATGAAGTCATCTAAGAAAGAGTTGGTCGAGGAGATCAAAGTTAGCAGGAGGTAGGGGGAAGGATTTGATCATGGACAAGTTGGTCTCCCGTGCTGTTAGGGGTATGAGAGAGGATGCCACATCCCGGCTGCTCGCACCTTGGGTGTTTCTTGAGGAACCTGAGAAAAGCTGAGTTAGTGTTAGCCTTAGTGACCTGCAAGTATAACTTTTGATGACGTCGAAATTATCCGTTTGAGTTATTATGTATACTGTTTCGCCTTCATATACGATGATTAAAAAATATGGGAACCTTTACGTGCAGCCACATGTAGTGCAACAATATGGTAGTAATTAATGTTTTTCACGTTACCTATGTGAAGTAAGGCACCTTTTTAAACTGAATTATGCTGTAACAACTGATTACTATTTCATAATCTTCGAATAGGATTCTACATTAGTAGATAATTATCATTGACATGATATGATAGCACAATATCAAGAATACCCTTGTTTCCGAAAAAAATTCACACTACTTTGTTTCTTAATACAGTAGAAGACTCTATTGTTATTTGATTGTTATTAGATCCTAAACAAAGTTTGTTTTTTCAATCAATACATGTTAGATAACTTAACCTATTGGTCTTGTATTTCATCCACAAACTGACAGAAAATTATCATCCTAATAATAATAATAATAATAATAATAATAATAATAATAATAATAATAATAATAATAATAGGTTTAATACAATACAGAATACTGAGCACAAAATACTTCAATAAGTTTTTTTTTTTACAAAAATCAACCAATCACTGCATACATATATACACCAGAAAAAAAAGAATTAATCAAATAAACTATTTGACATTGAAATGAAAAATATCTTTTCTTTTTCATTTAATGTGAGTCTATACAATTTTTTTTTAGTTAGGGAACATGTTTAGGAATATATACGTATTATGCAATAATCAATCAGTGTGGACAAGAAACTTGGGATCATTGAAAAGATTAAGATAAGGATGAAAGTTTGTAAGTGAATATAAGTAATACAATTTTATCTCTGTGCTGATAAGGTATGGCAACATGAACTGATGTACTTACGTACAAAGTTCTACGTTGCATCTGACTGACTGAATACAATTTCATCAACTTCGAAAAATATGAATAGAAAAACCAAATAAATTTCAATCATAAAAATAAAAACAAAAGTCTCATTTTTATCTGGTATAAAATTCTATTGTCTTGATGGAAAATAAAAATGTACACTTGTTTGCATTGTAATCTGGCAGTCAGCAAAGAAATGTACATTATTTCTAGAAGGGACAAGAATCTATTCAAATAATTGTACGTCATCTTGATAATAAGTACAATACTGAAATGATATCAGATCAATGACAAAGAGGAGATTCAATCAGATTGAATGATTAGTATAACGCTTAGATGTCAATATCACAGATTATTTAAGTAGTATAATAACCAGTGAGATATTGAACAGATCGCTGAAGAAACTTGATTGATTTTTGAATACAAATTAAAATTAATCTGGACAAATTGGCACTTTACCCAATGCTCTAGATATATCAAAATGACAAATGTCATTTAGTCCACCACCGACACGTTCACCAAAGAAATCAAATACATATAGATTTGGCATTTTAAGTGAAAGATCTTCAAGTATATTATCGACAACATGATTGCATTGAGTTAAATTAAGTATAACTAAATGTGGTATCTTTAGAGGAATATCAGCAAATGCTTTTCCTTGAATAACAGAATTTCCAATAAGGCTTAGCTGACGTAAAGAGCTGCATATTTCAATTATTCGATTCACACCGATATCAGTTACTTCCCAACACCAGTTTAAGGTAAGAAAGCGTAAACGGCTACCACAACAATAACATATATCCATCACTACTGAATCATTTAAACCAGGTGCTTCACTCAAATCCAAGTGTTCAAGATATTTTAAATTTAATTGATGATCTAAATGACTTAGACTTTTGGAGACAAATAGTGAACTTAAACCAATCGAACTGACTTGATGAGTTTTTCTCAGTGTAAGAGCGACAAGATTTGAAAGATTAGCTATAGATCTAACTGCTTCATCTTCAATATGATCACAAAAACTAATCCACAATTGTTGAATTCCGAGTATATGATGCTCAATTTCTGGATTGATAAGATCTTTAATGTCTGGTATGCGTTTTGTAGCATATTCTAATCGAATGATAAACTCATTTAGTCCAGAATTCGAAAGTTCAAAACCATCCAACCATATTGCATTAAGGTTACCATTGCGCACAGCTTCGCTGTCTGCCAGATGTAAAATACCACTATCTGTAATCCAAAGAACTCCATCTAAATTAATACGACGAAGATTGTGTAGTCCATTTGAAATCACTTTCACACATGCATCGCATACTGAAACACAATGTGATAGATTGAGTGCTTCTAATTTTGGACATCGAAGTACTAAAGTAGTGATGAAACCAATCTAGGAAATATATCAAGAAGTAAAAGTAAGTTAATGTTTAAAAGTAATGAAAGTTTCATCAGTAATGAACGATGGGACGGAAGTGAAAAATGTACCTAAAGAACACCATTTCATTACTTATTTTTAATAGTGAATATAAAATACATAAAACATAATTCAATAAGTACTATATTTATCGTAACTAGTTACTCGTGAGACACCCGAGTAAGCAACGCTGTTATTAGGAATCGGGTGCTAGGTAAGAATGGTAGATCAATAGATGAAGTGGTGAAACTTCATCAGTTGAGGTGGTTGGGACATGTGTTGCGTATGCCCAACCACCGACTACCTCGTCGAGCTTTGTTTTGTAGTGTAGGAATAGGTTGGAAGAAAGTTAGGGGCGGTCAAACCAAAACATGGCAGAAATCCATGAAGTCATTGACGAGTGGACTTAGCCATGTCGGTAATTGTCGACTACCTGGTTGGGGTCCGCGAGATGATAATAATCGATGGTTAGAGACCTTGAATGACATGGCTCAAAATCGTTCGCAATGGTGCCGGTGTATTTATTCTTTGTGTTCTCTCAAATCCTAATCTTCTGGATTCTTCGACCCCTCTAGTTTTGACTTTCTAAACTTTTCTCACTGAATCAGACTTCTTGAATAATATCTTCTAACCCTAACCTCTCCGATTACTTCTAATTCCCTTACTACCTCTACTACTAGTATGGGATTTGAATTGACAATTACTTCTCTGTGCTGATGTGGTATGGCGACATGAACTGATGTACTTACGTACGAAGTTCTACGTTGCAACTGACTGACTGACTGATTACTCATTGAAATGAATTTCCCTGTCATCCGCTGCAAGGATATAATGTTATATTTGTAATTCCTAGTAAGGATATTTCGTGACAAATCCAAAGGTATCCAACTTATTAGAGAACAGCGAATATATTACATAATAAAACGAAAGTTCACTTTAAAACAGAATTGTTACTAAGTTTATATTCAATGCTAATCTTACTGAAAAATGAATAAATTCATTAACTTGATTTTCAAATATTTGAAAAGTCGGTTACTTATAATTATTGTCAGTTAACGATGTAACGAAGTTACATCAAAACGTCTGTGGAAGAAGTCCTCATTTGGACCCAGAAAAATCAACGTAATTCATCGAAATATCAGATGGAAATCTGTAAGCCCAGTACTGATTGATGTCTATTAGGCAAAAGTTGGATTTGTTTGATAACGACTTAGTACTTAGGATAATGCTTGACTCGTACATAGTTGTGAATATTGATATATGATAATCTAACAACCAACATCAGTCACTGGCAAATAATTCTAATAACTTCATTATTGAGAACACAGCTAAAAACATATCAATATCTAACAGATAGACACAATAAACTCTGCTAATTTCTATCAATTACCTCGATAGTATTTACACCTTCAACGTTGAGATGCAGTAATGTTGGCGGGAGATTATTAGCCAGGATAGTTGTCGCCCGCTCACTCAAAACACTAAACCCTATATTAAGACATGTGAGCAAAGGACAGAGTTTAATAGAATCCGGTAGTACCGATTCCGCATGTTTAAGTGCCAGACAGCGAAGGACACGAAGCATCGGTCGACTGGAAATGGCTTCGATTATCAACTCAGCTGGTATCTGACGTCGTAGTACAAGACGAGTACGAAGAACAGGAGTTAGAGACACATTGTACCACAACTGACAGACAGCTGGAACATTGTGCAGTAAATCAGAGGCAGGAAGAAGCTTGAAAATTTCTAGAATCAAATCGAAAGGGAGTTTATGTATGGAAGCACTAGACCCTGAAACATATTCGTTAGCAGGAGGCAAAGAAAACGAAATCCTTGAGCATTTAGTCGGAGGAGCTTGAATATTTTTACTAAGTGAGCTTGAAGGCTCCGTATTATCTAATCCGAACTCCTCGTCGGTTGAATCATAAGTACAGGGTACTTGTTTCATGGGACTAAATGACGCTCTAGTGGCAGTTCATTTGAATGATAAGCTGAAAGACACACTAAAATCCCTCTCTAGAACATCGCTTACCTATCAACAAATAAAGAGATGAACAAGATTAACAGGTAATGCAGAAACCCACAGGCGACAAATTTTTGGTAACCCAAGGTCAGTGGAAGTAGTCCTGAGCTTGAAGGTCCCGCTTCGGCCAGTCGAACTACGTCTACCGAAAACATAGAAGATAGAGTTCTTTAAGTTCAACGTTAGCCAGTTTTGATACAGTGGAAGTAGAATTCTTCTGTTCTTCAATGCTCATATGTGCAATAAAGCTTATGTTTTTATATTTTGTTCTAAATGTTTGTTGACATCTTGTATAAGTGGCTCGACAAAGTTTCCATAATACGAACATATATTGTCTTTTTTGCCTAGAGATATCAGCAGCAAATTTTCAATGGAGGATCACGGATCAGTCAAAAAAATAAGTCAGGAATCAAGGGATTAGGAGTTATATTTAGAATATAGTTTATGTTTGAAAGAGTGCATGGTCTAGGCTGATTGGCTGTTGTGAGTGATGTGCAGTACGATGTACATAACGCGATCTATTACAGATGCTTGATTGAACGCCTTCATTTAAATTGTGTACAATCAACTTAATGAGGTTGGCATCAGTACCTATGATTTACTCACTTACTTACGCATGTAGCCCCTAATGGTACATAGGCCGCCAACCAGCATTCGTTGAGGTTGGTTGATTCAAGAGTTCCTTAGAGTATCCTACCAACCTGTTTTGCTGTCCTTCAATGTCGGTGGTTACTTTGCCTTACTTGCTTTTCACTGGGCGTTCTGATTTATGATAATAGCCAGCGAGCTTCTTTGTTGTATCGTACAACTGTCTCATGTTTCCTACCCTTACAGCTTTTTCTGTTATCATTGCTAGGTCTTCCACATATTTTCACTTGTCACCTCAAATGTTCCTCTTCACTTGCTTGTTTGCTTCTGAGTATCCGGCCTGTGTCTTGGCTTTCTCTGCTCTTGGTCGACTGATTTTGATTGCTATTTTCTTCTTCCCATCTGGAACCTTATCTAGAGCATCAACAGAAATATATTTTTAGTGATGATGCTTCTTGCGGGCCACAACCTCATGGCATGCCTGATTTACTGCTACTTTACTCGCTTCACATTTGCTGATCACCAGCAAGTGATCATCTAAAAATATTTGTAGGCTCCCCTCTGTATGGTCCTCCTGAACTTTTTATTGATGTAGACATAGTTTATTTGCATCATTGTAGCGTGACGCAGTTAATATGGTGCCGCCTATAACCATTCTATTGAAGGTATACAGATTTGCGAATCTCTCATTGTTTTCACTCCTTTCTTCCAGTCTTTATTATCCAGTGACGTATTCATATCCCCTTTTGTTCATCCCAACCTTGGTGTTTAGACCTCCCATCAGAATGGTCAAATCTTTTGCTGAGCATTTCTCGACGACTGACTGCAGCCTCTTATAGAACTGATCGTCAGTTTCCTCTTTTTTATCATTGGTAGGCGAACGGCACTGGATAACATTCATTGTAATCCCATCCTTCATTGATTCGTAGGATGATTCGACGAGAGAGTTATTTTCTCCTCCATGGACTTAATACAAATGCAGCTCTATTAAAGCTAATCCTTTATGTTCTGCTTTCTTCAAATGCGTTTCATTTATCCGAAGCTTCTCGAAGCTGTAACTTTTCCGCAGTAGTATGTTCAATGGTTCTTTGAGTTTCACACTTCGCGAACATTCTACTTTGCTACATTACTGTTACAGTACTGTTTATTTCGTAGATCCAAGAACCGCTAATAATAACTCCTGCCGTAGTCTAACGGAGATAACCCGAAAACTTGATCAACCATCCTAACAGGATTACCTTTGATGAATACCTTTCTGACAGCTCGCTACATCCAGGAGAGTCTGATGATCGTCTTCTATTCATAGATGTTATGTGGTCTATAATATTTAAAAAAGTAATGTAAAGTTTCATTTACTGTATTCTTTTCCTGTTTTTCGAAGGGAGTTGAAATAATGCTGGTTGAAGCAAACCAGTGAATGTGTAAGCGAGCGATTCCCATGCAGAAAAAAATACAGTGTATGTCACAACGTATAGCATGCCCAAGCGAGAGAGCTTTTTTTCTAAGAAAGCGATTGACATATATTTAGAAATATGAAAATTACTGTGGGCTGGCGCGAATTCTGAAAGTGGTAACATTTTTTCACGTGGCATGTTTTTCCTCGGAAATCGCTCTTTTTGTAGGGTATTATACTGACTTGATCAAATTATCTTTTATATCCGATCCAGTTTGTTCCTAAAACGTAAACCTTCTGAGTTTTTATTCATTTAATACATACACTAGCCCACAACAGTTTGATAACGTCTTTAACTTCCGGATAAACTAGTTTAAACCTACTAATCAAGTGACAGTTATTCTTACACTTAATGAGTGAACATCAATCCATAAAATCTCTCCATCTCTCCACTGACTTCAGTATTGACCCAGTTACTTCATGTAGATGGATTTACTACCGTAGCAGTTCAATTTGTTTCCAGTAAGTGCAAGTCGAACGCGCTATCCCCCAATCCAATGTCAAAACACAATAATTCTAGGAGAAAGCGGTCTGTATTATGTTAAAAATAGAAATACAAATCAATACCTGACTTTTGATGCACTTTCCAAGTCCCAATTACTCTGAGGAGTATCCAAGTTTAAAAAATCACTGAGCGCGTACTTTGAAGGTTGTACCTTTTTTCACGTATATTTTCTTTTTCGCTTTCCGATCTTTTTACCCTAGTTCAACGGTACATATTAACTCGTCTCTTACAAATTCTCCTCGGTTATTCTTATTTTAGTAATTTTCGCTGTAGTTTTTGGCTTCATAATTCCAAACAGACATTGTGCCTATAGTAACACAACTCTGCTTACAAATAATTCCACAAAGATGTCACGTTTATCTAAAAAACACTTGATTTCACCTGTCGAATATAACATCTGTAAAAGATCCAAATCAGCTACTAAATTCGATAAAATCAAACGTAAGAACATTGCTCCATCCGTATCTTATTCTGATCTCCCCACTGGCTCAATAGAATCTTACCGTGAACTTGTAAACGACTTCTCTTTACCGTGTATCCCGCTCGTTGATATAAACACAACTCACCTCCTTCCGAGTGACTCGACACCATCCACTACTTCTTGTGTTCCATCTGAAATAGACTCCTGTGAGCGCTTGGTAGAAAGTGTGGCTGGTCTTAAACATTTGACGAGCCCGCAAGCGGATCAAATTCATAGCAATCCGAAAAATGTCTCTAGGCCTTTTTGCCATAGGATATCCAGTACTGTTGATCTGGACTGTTCACTTTCTGATATGTTCATAACTTCGGATGACTTTACGCAGACTGAGCAACCGCAAAACACTTGTAGCAAGTCTGTTCATCATCCTATTCGCCTTAACAGCTGTGACCTGAACTCCAATAGATTCCCCACTATTAGCTCTGAGGACACCTTAAGTGCATTCGATATCAAGCAAACCATTCAGGATTTACTACCTTATAAATAATTGGTCAGTGTTCCAGAAAATCCTGATCTCGATATCATTAAAAAAACGGAAATAGTAATTGACCACATATCCTCTGATGTGTTAAAAAGACTTCAGTGCATGCAGAATGCGATTGTTTATAACGTACCTGACAGTGCTAGCCTCAATTCTGTTAAAAACACTCTCCTTAAAGAGTGTGGATTGTCCGGCTCTTGGTGCGTAGCACGCAGGCTTCGTAAAATTCAGTCTAAATATTCCTGTCCCATTCTTCTTCAATTTAGTACTGTCATCGAAGCTAATCACTTTATTAACAGTCAGTCACTGCTTAGACACATTCCTTTGTTTAAGAAGATTAGAATTATCAGGGATAGAACTACTATACAGCGCCGTATCACCAATGGCCTTTCAACTATGCCGGTCGATTCGTGTACTAGTAGCAGCGTCAATCATGAACGTCACATTAACCCTACTATACCCAACTCCACCCCTCCTAAAACAGAGCACAGATCCAAAGTGACTACTAGTCCGAAGACCTGTCCCCTGAACAAAAGTGCTGCCACCTGTCCCGTAGTCAAAAGCCCATCTACATGTAAACCACAGGTCAATCGCACTTTTGTAATACATAAACATTGTCCTAAAGATAAAGGGACAGACCTAGTGGTTCGAAATTCCCACAAGAGACGTGCTACTCGCCCTAACCGTCAGTCTGCAGTACTTAACATACCTAATAAACAACAATGCCTGCCCCCTACCTATCCTACTCGGGACGCCACTATACTTCTAAAATTGAAACCTAGGACTCCAGAGAATACGGACACTCATACCATAAATACCTCCCTAAACTCTAACCGTAGGCGCCTCCCCGTTTCCAACCCAAAGCCTTTACCCTTGATTGCGTACAAAAAGACTAGGATGCCTAGAGTTGCTGAGATAACTCGTAACACTAGCCTGCTTGGGCATCCGCCTAATGTTCCTAGACACCACCCTAGCCGTAATTCCTTTTGCAATTCTTCAGTCTCTCCAAAAAATGTACCTAACCCTTTTTTAACGCTCACCCCCTCAACAGAGTTGTTTTTCTACCTCCAGCTGTTGAGGGCGATATTTCCCCCTCCTTCAAGTCATGCTTTGCATTCTGTGATGTAATGGATGACAATCGATCTTTGACGCTGTCTTCCCCTTCTAGCTGTAATACCTTTATGTCTGGTCCTTTTGTCAAACCACCTTTCACATTGTCCAAAGATTTGACTAACTCCACTATACCTTATCCAATGGACTTACGAAACGATCCACCCTTATGCACCCTAGCGACTTCCTCATCTGTTCTTTGGGAGTCATCAGTTAACTCTGACGAACAACACTTATCATTTCCTACCTCACATGTTTCTCTCCCCATGCCTGTCTCTGAATACCTTTCTCCCTCTAACTATTTCGCTCCCAAACTAACTGATCATTACAATCAAGCCTATATTCCTACTCCCAGACCTTCTTTAGAACACACACCATACAACCCTCCAGATGCCCATCGTGCATCCCTGAAAGATGAGTATTCGTCCTATGTTACACTAATGCTAATTAATTCCCGATCTGTTATCAATAAGATTACCCACTTACGCTCTCTAGTACATCTAAACAATCCTTCCATTGTCCTGAT